AGTTTCCAGGCACAGAGGGGCAGGGCTTGGTGTAAGTGTGTCCTGATTCCACCAGGGGCTTCTGTGCTTCTCTCTGAAGTACCACCATGTCAGTGTTGGGGAGTTAAATGTGCCACCCCAATCTCTCATCCGTGGACCAGGGACTTCATCCCCAGCTGTTCAGACAGCCCTCACAGAATAGTGAGGGCCGTCAGTTTGCCCTGAGCCACAATTACCCTGTGCCTTCTCCTTTGCACACACAGCTAGGATTCAAAACCCAAGGTCTTAAAGACTGACACAGTGCAGATCAGCTCCCCTTCTCTAGTGTAGAGTTTCTCCACCTTGTTGGTGAAAGGCCTTTGGCTGACACCTGCAGAGTCGTTTGTCCTTGGCAAGGCAAGGACAAAATACTTCCAAAAGTATTCCTAGAAGAATATTCTCTCCCAGTGTGTCCTGGAGACTCCCATATCACACAATGCACTCCCTCCTTCTCCCCAGGAGTGCACTCTGCAGATTAGCTTTAGAGAAAGTCACTCACTTCCAGAACCTATGAGTTTGAGCTCTCCAAGCTATTTGTAAAAACTGGGACACTCAGTACTCTTTTCTACCCAGTTTGTGGTCCAGAGAGGTTTTCCTCTTGTGCTAACTTGATGCCTCACTATCTCAGTCCTTACTTTCTTTACCCGCCTTTGTCTCTCCACAGAAGGAGCTACCTCCTCTCCACAGGTCTGCCACTTTCTCTCCCTCATCTCACATTTGTGCACTTCCCTCCTTCCAAGCTGTCTCCTTCCAATGGTGCAGATCCTTCTGCCACTCTGCAGATCAACTTCCTGGGTGTTCTGAGTAACCTGACCTCAATACACTTGTATTTATTCCCAAGATCCCTGACTTCTCTGCCATCTTAGCTCCCCTCTATGCAACACTTTTTAAAAACCCACAAGAAATATTCTTTTATGGAAAAAAGTTATTGGGAAAGGTAACAGATTAGAGTATAATCTTTATGCCCACAAACCAATGCGTTCTCTGCTCTTGAAAATCTCTCTTGAACCTCAAAGATCTTTGGCGCAGGAGGAATCAGTAGTGTTCAATGTATATCACCACCTTCTCTGTAAGAGTTTTATTTATTCGCCTTCATCCATCTCCACTGTAAGAGCATTTCTGTTGTATAATGGAAATTCAGGATTCTACACTTAGACCCTTTAAATACATTTCTTTGGCTGCTACTCTGCTATATAAAGCTTATAATTCTTTTTTTTTTTAATCTTTCTTTGCTTATTCTCTAGGTAAAAAGATTTCTACCAGTCACTTTGCTTGGCCTTGATGATGAAAATATGTTTATAAATCATAGTTAAAGTAGACTACGACTGCTCATAACTTATCTCAGATGTTGGATGACTTTTCTAGAATGACTTTCAAAAGATAAACTTGTCCTCACATTACCTGAAAAGTCTTGGAGTGACTTACCATGGCTTCCTTCTATGGCCTAAATGCTTATGTCCCCCCAAAATTTATATGTTGAAACTCTCACCCCAAATATTATGGCATTGAAGGATGGGGATTTTGGGAGATAATTCAGTCATGAGGATGGAGCTCTCATGGTGGGGTTAGTACTCTTTTAATAAGAGACATGAGAGATATTCTCTCTCTGTCTCTATCTATCCATCTCTCAATGTATTTTCCATGTGAGCATACAGTGAGAAGGCAACTATCTGTAATCCAGACCTTCCTGGCCAACAAATTGATCTTGGACTCCCCAACCTCCAGAGCTCTGAGAAATAAATGATTGTGAAGCTATCCAGTCTACAGTTTTGTATTTGTTTCTGGAGCAGACTAAGACACTCCCTATACACAAACTATAAGAGCCTGTCTCCCATATGACTGGGACACACAGCCTGGTACATCCTGAAATATGAGGGACACATAGGATTAGTCTAACACCAGAGTAAGCAGAAATGCATTTCCCGTCTGAGATAAAAGGAAGTTTCATGAGGGAACACATGAAGTCTTACAATAAACCAGTGGTAACTGAGTTGTGCATCAGATGACACTGTGACACCACACTGCAAGAAAGAAATGAGAAGACAACATATATGACAGGTCACCCGGTGTCTCAGTGACCAACAGATACAAAGGTGATCTGCAATGATCTTTACTTTTATATATTTATATGCTTATGCATTTTAAAAAAAAGCTTATTTGGGTGTATAAAATCTTTACAGAAGTGCCTGACTTCTGGAAAATTACTGCCTCCTACTGCACACACTTAGACCTTAGATAATCCCCCAAATAATACTAATAAAGTCAGCCTCCACAGCGATCCCACAATTTTAATAAGGGAGTTAATTTTGTTCATTTCTATCACCACTGACCTCATCCTGGAGTTTTTAAAAACTACTCACAAAAGCAAAAGTTTAGTAAAGGACAACTGAAAGAAGTACTCGACAATTCCCCATTCAAAACACTATAGTTCCCAAACTGAGGACTGATGAGGGGAGGGAGAGAGAAAGGGGGGTTGACAAACATGGAGGAGGGCACTTGTGGTGATGAGCACTGGGTGTTATATGGAAACCAGCTTGACAATAAACTATTAAAAAAATATCATCAGCAACAACAACAACAACACTATAGTTCCTAAAATAGGCATAAAAGACTCTCCGGCTCTAACAGAGCAGGTGGGAGTGAAGACAGTTCTCCTTACTAAGAAAACGTGGTAGCCTCTCAGTGTTTTCAAGATTCTCAAGTGTAACGGTGCTCAGGATGCAACAGAAGAAACAGAACTCTGCAAGGCAAATGCTCCTAACCACAGACACTTAGTTTCCTATAACTGGTGTGAAACGCTAACACCAAGGTGAGACACAAAATGCAGCAGCACTTTCTGCTTTAGGAAGGCATGGGAAAGATGTTTCAAGAGAGTAAGGAACACCTAAAAGAACATAGAATTGAAAGCAAAACAAAACAAAACTGGCTTGTCCCAAGATTAATAAGAACTTCACTCCAGAAGACAATAAGACTCTAAGAATTTTGGGGCCAGCTGCACAGCAAAGGAAACAACCCACAAAACTAATAGGCAACCAATGGAATGGGAAAAGATAGTTGCAAATGACATATCAGATAAAGGGTTTATATCCAAAATTTATAAGGAACTCACCAAACTCCACTCCTTAAAAACAAACAACCCTGTGAAGAAATGGGCAGAAGATATGAACAGACACTTCTCCAAAAAGGACATCCAGATGGCCAATAGACACATGAAACGATGCTCAGCATCCCTCCTCATCAGGGAAATACAAATCAAAACCACACTGAGATACCACCTCACGCCAGTCAGAGTGGGTAAAATAAGCAAATCAGAGAACACGAGATGCTGGCGAGGATGTGGAGAAACGGGCACCCTCCTACACTGTTGGTGGGAATGCAAACTTGTGCAGCCCCTCTGGAAAACAGTGTGGAGGTTCCTCAGGAAACTAACAATAGAACTCCCTTATGACCCAGCAATAGCACTGCTAGGAATTTACCCAAGGGATACAGAAATGCTGAGGCATAGGAGCACATGGACCCCAATGTTCATAGCAGCACTCTCCACAATACCTAAAACATGGAAAGAGCCTAAGTGTCCATCAACGGACGAATGGATCAAGAAGATGTGGTTTCTCTATACCATGGAATACTACATGGCAATGAGAAACAATGAAATCTGGCCATGTGTAGCAACATGGATGGACCTTGAGGGTGTTATGCTGAGCGAAATAAGTCAGGCAGAGAAGGACAAATATCATATGTTTGCACGTATAGGAGGATTAGGAGGAACTTGACGGAGGAACAAGCGGGAGAAGAAGGGCGGAAATGGTGGGGGAAAGGGAGAGAGGCAAACCATGAGAGACTCTTGAATGCTGACAAAAACTGAGAACTGATGGATGTAGGGGGGAGAGGGGAGGGGCATGGAGGAGGGCACTCGTGGGGATGAGCACTGGGTATTATTTGGAAACTAATTTGACAACAAACAATAGTTTACTTTTTAAATGAAGTTTAATGTTTATTTTTTGAGAAAAGAGGAAGTGTGAGCAGGGGAAGGAGGGAGAAAGAGAGAGAGAGAGGCAGAATCCAAAGGAGGCTCCAGCCTCCATGCTATCAGCACAGAGCCTGATGTGGGGTTCAAACTCATGATGGGGTTCAAACTCATTAACTGTGAGATAATGAGCTGAGCTGAAGTCAGATGCTTAACCAACTTAGCCACCCAGGTGCCCCTAAAAATATTAAGTTCTAAAAACATTAAAATAGAACTACCCTACAAACCAGCAATTATACTACTAGGAATTTATCCAAAGGGTACAAATATGTGTTTCAAAGGGGCATATACAACCCAATGTTTATAGCAGCACTATCAACAATAGCCGAAGCATGGAAAGAGCCTCAATGTCCATCAATTGATGATGTGGTATATATACAATGGAATACTACTTGGTGATGAAAAAGAATGAAATCTTGCCATTTACAACAATGTAGTTGAAACTAGAGTGTATTATGCTAAGCAAAGTAAGTCAATCAGAGAAAAACAAATATCACATGATTTCACTCATATGTGGCATACAACAACAACAAAAAAAACAGATGAACATAGAAGAAGGGAGAAAAAAGAGAGGGAGGCAAACCATAAGAGACTCTTAAATACAGGGAGCAAACTGATGGTTGCTGGACGGGAGGCAGGTGGGTGGATGGGCTAACTGGGTGATGGGCATTAAGGAGGGCACTTGCTGGGATGGGCACTGGTGTCACATATAAGTAATGAATCACTAAATTCTACACTTGAAATTATTATTATACTATATGTTAACTAACTTGGATTTAAATAAAATAAAATAAAAATTTTAAAAAGAAAAAAATTTCAGGAAGTCTTCTTGAGTGGTCTGTCAAGATTAGTTTCAGCTTCTTAAAACATAAAACCTAAATCTGTGCTGTAAACAAGATGGAAGGTTATCACTCTCACATCAAAGAACCTGAGAGTCAACAGGTAATACATGTCCATGACCATCATGTCCCCTGGTTCCTCTCAATGTTCCTTCATTCTTAATGGAAGCTTTCTCCTTCTAGTTTGCTTCAGCTCACACATGGCTGCTAAAGCCTAGCCATCAAGTGTACACTGCATGTATGAAAATGAAGAAAGATGGACAATTATGTTCTGCTAGCTTTCTCAGCATCTCATTCACCTTACTGTCTTCCCCTATCAGGGAAAATGGAAAATTAAACTCCTTCACAGGGCATATTACCTCCTGGAGTGACAGGGACTGTGGACAATAAGTGGGAGCCAAGATATCTGAAAGAAGATAAGTAAGGTGATGATCAGCATAATGCCAAAGGGACCCTGTGTTAGTCTCAGTCACAAGAGTTTCCATCTATATGATTGCAGCACGTTCTGGCATCAAGCTGTCTATTCCCTTTTTCTTCCCCAACTTCACAGATATTTAAGCCCCTGCATCTCTGGAAGTTATCCCAGGTGGACATCAAGACAATTCCTAAGACATTCCACATCTCACATCCCGCTATTCCAGGAAGAAAACACAGCAGAAAACAATTTTCCCACTTCATCCTGCAAGCACAATCATCCCTGTCTTCCTTTGGGTCAGGCATCCTCTCCCTTTAATGTTAGACAAAGTGCTTCCTAAAACCCCAGAACATAAAACTGAAACCACTGCCACGATCCCATCCTATTCTCGCTCCAACATCTAGAGCTACCCAAAGTTGATCAAGTCAAAAGCTAGAGAGGAGAAATGGCTGCCCAAAGGTGTCATTATCCATGATGATTCCTAGCACTAGCTTTTATTCACATGAATAAATTAACATGAATTAACACATCCACCACTTCATGCCGATCATCTACCAAAAGGCTTTCCGGCCATCCCATCCATTTGATGAATGAAATAGGTGGCTGAGACCATGTGTAGTAGTCAGAAAAGAAATTCAAAGTTATTACTCTGTGCCAGTCACTATCCTGAGTACTTAACAAAATAAAAAACAAACAACAACAAAAAATCAACTCATGTTACACTTGCAACAGACTATGAAAGCCAGTACTATTGCTTGCTATACTTTTCCGATCACATGAGTTTTGCCCAGAGAGGTTATGTAATCTGCTCAAAGACACACAAATAGTGAGGCTGACTTTCCTACTGAAGCCTGTGCCCACACTCTAATTGAATTAAATGCTATACAAGTTACTCTTCCACTCTGACTTGATGGCAACACCCACCTGCCCTAAAGAGTGAAAAATACAGAGTTCTCATTCCCCATTATTGGTCTATTTCCTCTAGTCTTCTGGTATTTGAAAATTTACCATTAATGCAAGTATTTCATGCTTACACACTACATCAATTACCAGCTAACCCCTCAGACACTAATTAAACAAAACATCAGGGATAACTTCTCAACAGAAGAGGACAAGGTTTTACTCTCAGTGTCTGGGGAGAAAAAAACAGAGTCTTTTTAGAAATGAATGGAAAGAATGAGGTCAAGTTTAACCAGATGGTAATTTTGAAAAGAGTAGAGAACTGGACATGGGGATGGCTTGTCACCTAGGAAACTTCTCTTCCTAGTAACCTTTGCTGCATAAACGTATAGGCTAGCTCTTCCATGGCCAGGGGACTGTGGCTAGAGTATATACGCTGAGCTAATTCATTATTTGGGTAAATCCCAGAAAACTCTGAATTTCCCCAGTGAGCAGACTCTTCTTGACTGAGAATAATCTCTCCACCCTTGCTCAGAAGGTAAAACTCAGGGAAAGGCAAGGTCCCAGTGGCTTCATCAGCAAACAGGTTTTGCCTTTCTGGAATATAAACAGCTTTTCCAATTACTCCACCCTTAAATGTCCCTTTCCAGGCAATACCACCAGAAGCTAATAAAGCCTCCTGTCCTTAATCAAGCCCTCTGTAGAAGCCAGAGAACTATGGATATAAGTGATTAGTCTTCAGCATGAACACTGGTCTATGCTGGAGACCAAGGGGACATGAGATGGAGGACAGGTGAGTCAATAAATAGTGGCCACACATTAAGCAGCATGTATAAAATGGTGTACTTCAAGCTAGAAAAGACAGTCAGGAACAGAACAGACTGCTCCTGCTTGTAGGTAGACCAGTTGTCCAGTACTCATCAGAAGCATGGATGTTCACAGCACAGTGTATGAGTACCCTGAGGCTCATTTCTGCTGCTGTTCAATATTTTTGACAAAGGTGAGTTATAGTCACAAAAACAATTTTAAGCCCAGTATGGGCCTATACAGAGATGAATAGAATGAGAAAGGCAAATATTACCAATCCCTAGAGAAAAAAAAAAAAAAACTTTGAGGTGAATTTTAGTAGCAAATTGAAATAGTTAAAGAAAAAAAAATAGGTAGTGGAATGTGTGTGTTGGGGAACAGTTGTGTGCAAGAGGGATGTTTAACACAAAGTAATGATATTAAACAGGACTGTTAATACTTTGAAGGCAGATGTCATGGGTCAAGTGTTAAGACCTCTAGGGGTCTAGAGGGAAGTAACTTCCTTCTGTATAAAGTAGAAACTGGGGACTTAAAGGGCTTTCTACATGAAGTCATAGTGTTGTGCTTACCTGAGTGAAAAGGATGTTCCTAACCTTTGCGGACATCTCAGTTTTCCCGGCATTATTGAAGGAGGTCATGAAATGGCACATACATTGCTCTTGGTATACAGATTGAGAGGTGATGAATGTTCACTCAGTGCTGAGTTACCTCCCTTCTGCTTTTTATTTCTTGTTATGAAATGCTTGTTATGAAATCTCTAGAACTAAGGCATTTTGAAAAGTTATACCTCAGCCCCCTTGTGTGGATATGGTTATCAATGCTCCTCAAACTCCTTTGTACATGGGAGCTTACAGAGAATGATCCAGTAAGTAATCAGTGAGGAGGGTTTCAGAAAGAAGCAGAGGTTGAGTTGTACTACGTGATGTGAGACGGTATTCCTGGTGGGAGGACCCACAACAGGCAAAGCTGTAGAAAGGATGAGCAAACCTGTGTGTAGACCTGACCACTGGCTATATGAAAAGGGCTGGTGGATGATAGCAGAGCAAAGCTGAAGGGAACAGGACTGAGGTTGTGCCTTTAGACTCTTCCTCACTGGGCCAGTTCACCTCTTGATTTTATTCTAATTGAACTTGGATTCATTAATCCAGGACTTCTTGGATCTCTTTGATCCAAGAAATAATCATATCACTGGGACAGAACCAGAAATATAAACAAACCCTTAGAAAAGTACCTTTGGTGTGTGTGAGTCAAGAATGCCTGTTAGTATCAGTGAAGGAAAATGTTAAGCTTTGTCCCCAAGACTTAAAATCCTGAGATTTGATCCTAGTTATGACCTGGACAGTTAAATAAGGCCTTCACATCGTTATTTGGGTGGTGTAAATATTTCAGGCTGAATGTTAGATTGAAGAAAAAGATCTCTTGGACTAATAAGCAATAAAACTCCATGGTCTATTCTTTCTTCTCCCACCTCATAAGCTTATTTCCAGATTTTCTTTTCTGTTTGTTGGAGTAGATAATATGTTCTGTTCACCTCCAAGCAGAAGTCTAAGCAGAAGTCCATAATTGGCATTATGATAATATATACATGACAATAAGATATATATATATATGTATATATATACACATACATGCATATAGACAGATATAGATATAAGTATAGATATAGACACATAATGAAGATTATATATCAAACACAGAGTGATACAGATCACAAGGTTTTATCAATGTGTTCAAAATCCCCCTGTGTTACCAATAGGTATGGGATAAGTCCTGTGATTGAAATATCTATCCCAGGGTGGCTTCTAGAGATAGGGATGTGACAACGGTCAGAAGAAACTGCAGAGGATTGAGTTAAAGAACATAATCTCTACTCTTGCCACACAACTGTTTAAGAAGATGGTCGTTTAGTTTGTAGGTAACTGAAACACTTAAAGGTATATCAGCTCTTAAGACCTGAGCCTTAGAAAGATGACTCCCTTGTAAGTGTGAGTAATGGACTGGATAAGGAAGGAATTGCCTCTGGGGAGACAGTTAGGCTCTAAGTGGGGTCCAGATGGTCATCCTGGCTGAGAACGGCACTGGCAAGGATGCAAATAGTTTGTCCTATGACATTAGACTAGTAAAGCCAATAGGAAAATCCACGGATGAAATATAGTAAATGAGAAACATTACCAGAAATAACCTGAACACTCTGAGTCAGGGTAACTGATGCAGAGACAGCCAGAAATGAGAACGAAGGTGCTGGACTGAAGTTAGAGGAACAACTGACAGGTTAAATTTGGGATCCTCTAGCTAACAATGTCAGAAAAGAGGGGTACCTGGGTGGCTCACTCAGTTGAGGGTCTGGCTCTTGATTATGCCTCAGGTCATGATCTCAAAGTTCATGAGATTGAGCTTAGTGTCCAGCTCTATGCTGACAGCGTGAAGCCTGATTGGGATTCTCCCTCTTTCCTACTCTCTCTGCCCCTCCCCTGCTCTCTCTCTCTCTCTCAATACATAAATAAACTTTTAAAAAATGAGATTAGATGTCAGTGAAGAAGTGACAGCTAGAGACACAAATCTGGAATGACTCTAAGGGTAATTGTGGCAGATGTGGACATTACTGTGTTTATCCAGGGAAGCAAGACAGTGCCTTGGGGAACACCTCTCTCTGAGTATTAGGAAGTTGGAAGGAGGTCACGGGAATCCAGAGCCTCAATCTGAAGTGGAGCTCTAAGCAGAAAGGGCTGGACCACAAGGCATCAAATGCAGAGCAAGAAGCCTCAGGTTGGGCTGGTGTCCAGATTTGCAAGCTACTAGTTGTATGTGTGTGTGTCTATGCATGTCTGGTACACTGAAACAGAAATTACAGGAAGCTCCTCCTCTTCAGTCTCCTCACCACTTTCTCTTGGGTGACATTACTCTCCTGTTTTCTATCATTCTCTTCATCTCAGTCATGTGCATGGATGCTATTGCTGCTTTGCAGATCACCAATGGCTTTTTTAAAGCAAAGTAGTAAAGAGAATAATGGTTGAGAGGAAGAGCTTAGCTTTCAATCTTGGTCTTACCACTTGCTGCTATGTAGGTAATGTAAAGTAGACCAGTCATCTTCCCCAAGCCACTCTATTCAACAGAAAAATGGGAGTAAAAACATCTCTCTTACTGAACCATTAAAGCAGTAAATAAGATAATCACATAAAGTTGTTATCACAGCACCTGGCTCAGAGTGAATGTGCAATGATTTGCATTCATTACTAAGTATGACCTATACCTACCCCTCTATCTTCTTTAATTTCTCCATCCTTTTATATATATCCTCACTATCCTTATAACTTGTCCTATTCTTGCCCAGCGCAGACTCTGAGAAGAAACCTTGGAATGAGAAATCAAGAAAAGGGAGATGGTATGATCACTTTTTATCATAAAAGGTGGGCTAACCTGATTTTTCCCTGCCCAGCTCACTGAATCAAAAATTGTGCCCTGAGCTCCCGTTAGAGATAAAATAACTGCACTGTGTAAGATTCACTTTAGAAGTATTTTCCACAGAATAGTGGGAAAAAGTGTTCCAAAAATATTGGAAGCAGTATGCAGTTTTGAAACAACAGAGGGATAAAGATAATTTGTACTTATGTATCCATTTAAATCCTAGAATTTTAGATGTTCTTAAGTACTACCATGATTCTTTTTTTTTTTTTTTTGAGAGGGAGAGAGCACAAGTGAGGGAGAGAGAGAGAGAGAAGAGAAAGAGACAGAGAGAAGTGGGGCTTATGCTCACCCAGGGTGGAACTCAAACTCATGAACTGTGAGAGTACGACCTGAGCCAAAGTCAAATGCCTAACCGACTGAGCCACCCAGGTGCTCAAAAGTAATACCAAGGTTCTTAAGAATGTAAGACTTGGAGAGGAGGGAGGCACTTGTTTAGTGCAGCATCATTGAATATGTATCCATGAATTTTATAGTCTAAGTACAGAAAGTATCAAATAAGGAACTAAAAATGGATCTTTCATAAATTACTTGCAGACAGAATTTAACTTCTTTTCAATCCTATCCTGGACTATATCCCTCCATCATGAACTTGAATGTGCACAGTCCTGCAAAGAGTGTAAGGGGTTAGGGGCTGATGAAGCTCAGGGGAAAGGCCCCAAGAATCAGCAGGTGGAAATCCAGTTTCTTTCTAAAAAATACAGAATACAGATATCAAATCAGCTCTGTGCTCCAATTAGGAGAGGAAACAGCTGCTTGGTAAAGAGGTTGTACAGGGAAATCCAAGTGCCACTCAAACTGCCCAATAAACATTAGTTCTGGGGGCAACCAGAACCTTCAGTAGACAACTCCAGGGACGATGTCCCTTACAGTGCAATCTCTTTCTCCCTAAGCTCAAAATCCTATGCTATGGGATCTTATTAGGTGCCCTGACCAAGTCAACACCTGCGGTGACTTAGCTTCTACTCTTCAGAGTCTCAGAGGATCTTGGTATGTGGTTTTTTTTGTTTGTTTGTTTGTTTTACTGCAAAGTGAGTGTTAGTGCTGCCTAAGTGTGGATGACCATGGGAGAGAGTCCAGCATGTACAGAAAGCCAGAAAGCATCTGTTCATGATGAACAGAGCCAGATGTAAGCCTTAGCAGGTGAGTCAAGTATATTCCTATCTTGCTTTAGGCCACTTCTCACCTCCCTGCAACCAACGCTTCCAAAAGGCAAAGCAAGAAAACCTAAGAAAAAAGTCCATTTCTGTCAGTGAGTTTGTAGAGATAGGTTGAACATTCTATTGGTGACGGGAAATATGACAGACTTTGAACAAACTGGAAGCAAATTGCTATTTATGGTGTACTTTCACAAATATCATGCTGCTCTATCATTTCCAAAACTTTGCATGTGAAGGAAGTATTTTCTCCCTAGGTCACAGAAGCAGAAATCAAAGTTTAGAAAGATTAAATGGCATAACCAAGGTCACAGAACATGGGAGGCAGAGCAAAGCCCACTTAAACATGCTGTGCCTCCTGGTCCTGACTTCCCCATATCCCAGTGTCTCTGTGGAGACAACAGGATGCAACCTATGTAGGAAAGCTCAAGCATAAGCATAAGGAAGACAGTTCTCTCCAGCTCTCAGGTTTTATTCACTTTGACTTTCTTGACTCATTGCAGGCACCAAAAACATGCCTTAGCATGAGAGGTGACAACCAGAGCTTCCCAGGGGATCCCCCTATAGACTTCATCCTTCTAGGTGTTTCTGACAGGCCATGGCTGGAGCTCCCTCTCTTTGTGGTCCTCTTGGTGTCCTACATTCTGGCCATGTTGGGGAACATCGCTATCATCCTAGTGTCCCGTCTGGATCCCCAGCTCCACAGCCCCATGTACATCTTTCTTGGGCACCTGTCCTTCCTGGACCTCTGCTACACCACCACCACAGTCCCTCAGATGCTGGTCAACACGGGAAGTTCCAGGAAAACCATCAGCTACGGTGGCTGCACAATGCAGTATGCAGTTTTCCACTGGTTGGGATGCACTGAGTGCATCATCTTGGCCGCCATGGCCCTGGACCGCTATGTGGCCATCTGTGAGCCTCTTCGGTATGCTGTTATCATGCACCGTCCTCTCTGCCAACAGCTTGTGGCTGTGGCATGGCTCAGTGGCTTTGGCAACTCCCTTGTTCAGGTAGTCCTGACCGTGCAGCTGCCTTTCTGTGGGCGGCAGGTGCTAAACAACTTTTTCTGTGAGGTACCAGCCATGATCAAGCTGTCGTGTGCTGACACAGCCATGAATGATGCCACATTGGCTGTGCTGGTAGCCTTCTTTGTCCTGGTCCCCCTAGCTCTCATCCTTCTCTCCTATGGCTTCATCGCCCGAGCAGTGCACAGGATCCAGTCCTCCAGGGGAAGGCACAAAGCCTTTGGAACCTGTTCCTCCCACCTGGTGGTAGTCTCCCTCTTCTACCTGCCAGCCATCTACATGTACCTGCAACCCCCTTCCAGCTACTCCCAAGAACAGGGAAAGTTTATTTCCCTCTTCTATTCCATAATCACCCCTACCCTCAATCCCTTTATCTACACCCTGAGGAACAAGGATGTAAAGGGAGCTCTTCGAAGGCTCCAGTCTAGGATCTGGAGGTTCTGTAGATGAGGCTCTGAGATTTGACAATGTCAATTGGTTACAGAAACCTGGGCAAGTGTATTGTGTGATAAGGATTCCACAGCCAGTGTAAGTTTTTTGAGAGATTTGGGAGATCTTCAAGTCCTCTGTCAAAACATTTTGTCTTCTGTGTGGTCAGGGTGCCTAAAATCCTACCTCTCCCAATAGTCTTTAGTTCTAAGACACCAAGTATTTTTAGGAATCATTTAAACAGAATTGGTGTTCAGTAAGATTTTTGTCAAATTGTTTAATTTCTACTTTCCTAATTCTTGTCCCTTTTCACTTTTCTACTTTTTTCTTATTTTTCTCCCACTTGTCTGATCTTCCCTCTTCCTTTTTCATTACTTCTAAGTATACATAATGTGAACCTGCAATATAATCTGATATTACTTATAATAATTTGTTTTTTCTCCATATACTTAAATCTCCATAAATTTTATGTAACTTTTTTAAATTCCCAAAATGAAGAGGATTACTTTCTTCTTCCTGTGACTTTAGATGAGATTTTTTTCCTACAGTTCCGGTTTTCTTCTGTAGAAAGTTTCCCCCTCCATGGTCTGAAAACAAGCATATTTATTATGGATGTGTAAGACTCTATATTAGAGTCAAACATCATAATATCTTATCTAAAAACCCAATGCTGTAGTTGAGAATACAAGATATAAATGTAATCAAAGTTAGGGAGAATAAAACTGTAACTAATAAGTTCAAGGTCATTGTAACAGCTAACATTTGTAGAAGCCTTCCAAGATGTAGGTACTAGATTAAGTGTATTTATGTATGCCATCTTGTTAAAAATAGCCCCATGATATGAGCTCATCTATAATTTTCCACTGTTGTATCGGAAAGGTTGCATTAACTTGGCCTTGGTCACACTGGGAACTGAGACCAGAACTAAAGTCCATACTCTCTGCCTCCTTTATCAGGACAGAGCCATGATACTAGGACTTTATATTTACATTTTTGTCATGTTTAGTATTTATTTATATTTAACTTACTCGTTTTTATCCCCCTGCCATCATCATGCCAGACACTAATACAACCTAACAGGACAATAAATATAATAATAATAATAATAATAATAATAATAATAAAAACCAATAATAATAATAATAATAACAATAAAAGATAAGTGTATGACAATTAGGACAAAAGGGAAATTGAAGAAGTCTTACTGACAGTAAAGGCAAAAAGAAAATATAAATCACAGAGCTACAGCATTTGATTTAAGAATTGAGAGGGGGGCCTGGGTGGCTCAATTCATTGAGGATCCAACTTCAGCTCAGGTCATGATCTCCTAGCTTGTGAGTTCGAGCCCTGCGTCGGGCTCTGTGCTGACAGCTCAGAACCTGGAGCCTGCTTCACATTCTGTGTCTCCCTCTCTCTCTGCCCCTCCACTCTGTGTGTGTCTCTTTCTCAACAATAAATAAACAATAAAAAAAAAGAATTGTGAAAAAACCATGACTGTTCCTCTTTCCAAAACCACAAAGAAACGTTCCCCTGAGCTACCATAGAACAGCCACTGGGTAATAGCTAAAAGCCCTTTAGAACTAACTTCGTGAGCATGCATAATAATATATAAGAGCTTTCTCTTCTAACGTCTCCTGATGGCACAGGTCCAAAACACAACCCAATGAAAGCAATGTGACATGGACGCAAAGAGGGTCAATCCATACACACACTTATATCACGATCCAACCTCATTTTACAACACATTTGAGAGTACTGAGGACTGTGTTTCTCAAAACAGATGTACTAAATTAAAGATGATCTCAACATATTCTCTATTCCGGAGGTGCCTGGGTGGATCAGTCGGTTGAGCGTCCAACTTAGGCTAAGGTCATGCTTTTGCAGTTCTAGAGTTCAAGCCCTGCATCGGGTTCTGTGTTGATAGCTCAGAGTCTGAAGCCTGCTTCAGATTCTTTGTCTCCCCCTCTCTCTTCCCCTTCCCTGCTTTATCTCTCTCTCTCTCCTCTCTCTCTCTCTCAAAAATAAACATTAAAATATTTTTTAATATTTCTATTCCCTGCAGTGATAAGTGAAGACTAATAGAGTGAGCAAAAGGATATTTTACATCTTCCAAGACAAGCTGATAAGAAATCTGACAGCTTCCAGCTAATTAACACTCCTGCAAGTCCCTAGGTGAGAAGGCTAACTACTGTAAGATATCCATGCTAGGGAGACTGTGGGTGGATGCTGTCATCTACTGCTCTACCTCGAGCAGGCTTGCAGGCAGTTCTCCACATCCAAGTGGAGCTATCTATCCTCAGCCCTCCTGACCAGCCTTTCCCACCTAGTGATCTTGGTAGACTAAGCACGGAGCAAAAGAATTTCTCAGCTGAGCTCTGCTCAAATTCCTAACCCACAAAATAGTCATATATAATAAAATGGTTGTTATTGTAAGCAACTAAGTTTGGGGATGGTTTGGCAGGCAGGTGAAACACTGAGGACCCCTCGAATATTAAATATCACAGTTATGTGAAACCACAAGATAAATATGGTGAATTTTCCAGAGCATTAATATTATTAGACATTTTAAAAGAAAATATTTAAATAATTCAACTGAGAACTAAATGAAAGCATGCTTTCAGTATAATAAACTAACCTAATAGAAAAATGTAGACAAAATTTTGTAATGAAACTCAAGATTAGAAATAATTGGCATGCTCTGGTACACTGCTCTATATTATGGTAAGTGTGTTGACATTCACTTCTCTCTGCTTTTAAGAGTAGTTTGTGGGAAAGTGAGAGAAACACTCTTAAAGAAAACAGAATAGTATGTGTGCTTTTCAGGTACTCTTTCAAAAGTATTACTCTACCAGGAAACCTTTAGAAATCTATTGGTCTGTGCTGTGAATATAGTGAGACTCTTTCTTTTGTGGGGATGGCAAGGTACAAAATAATTTTATTATGCTCTATGATGAATTGCCCCCAGTGCAACATCCTATCACTAACATTTCAAAAAGATTCACAGGCAAAACAAAATTTCAGTTGATAAATGGGAAAGAATGATTGAGAAATCTTTATGCATCTCACACATATAATATATGGCTAGCTAAAATTGCCTGTCACCTAGCATTTAAATGTAAAATACCTCATACTAGTTTGTTAAATGCATAAGCAATCAGACAATCATTTAGCTGCAGTTTCTATGGGAGGCTTTCAGACAATGCACAAGTATGAAGCTGACTACAATACAAGGTGGTGGAGGACAGAAAGATGCAATGCTTATATCAGCAGTGGGTTTAATCTTCATGCCTGGACTGAATTCCAACTCTTGATTGGGTTTCGACCAATAGTAATTTAGAATTTGTGGAATAGTGGTAACAAAAAACCTTTTACCCCCCCCCTTTAAGAATAACCTCAATTACCTTTGGCAAATTTTATAGCCACAATTTTACATATTTAAAATTGTGTTTCTGGGGCGCCTGGGTGGCTCAGTCAGTTAAGCATCCAACTTCGGCTCAGATCTTGATCTCACAGTTAGTGAGTTCAAGTCGCCCCATTATTGGACTCTGCATTGACACTGTGGAGCCTGCTTAGGATTCTGTCTCTCTCTCCTTCTCTCTTCCCATCCCCCACTCACGCTTTTTCTCTCTCTCAAAATAAATACACTTAAAAAGATAAAATAAAAAATAAAATTGTGTTTTCAACTCAAAGGATGGATATCCTTTACTCAAAGAACCTCCTGATACATATCCATCACATCAAAGTTAGTTGGAAAACCCTGAATTCCTTGACCAACATTTTGTTGGAGGGATCTTAAACCAGCATTACCCTGAAGACATTTATAGGATATTTAAAATGTTTTTATAACATCAAAAAAAATTAAAAAGGGAAAATGTTCAATATTACCTAAAATAATTATAATGTTCTATTTACCATTCACACAAATTCCTAATTCTATTCATTAGTATTTGTCCAGCCTCATCCACACCATACTCAAGATTACTGAGCTCAAGCCATAATAAAAATGAGACAGAGCAGGAAAAGGTTTCTAGCAGCTAAGACACTGCTTTGCAAGAGATGAAAAGTCCAGAATCTTTCCCCTGCATTTAAGTTACTCTTGCAAGAAAGAATAACTTAACTTTGAATAACATAACTATTTTACTAAACCACTTACTGCTTTCAGCAGCAAAGATTTTTAGACTATTTCTTACAATAAGTAGATGCACCACTGCTAGAGATTATGTGATAACTGGTGAAACAGTCATTTACTGGATGCTCTAGGCAAAATGACCTGGCATCCACTTTCTCAAGGTGTCCAACCTTAGTAGACAGCTCTTTAATTCAACAAAGGGAAAACCAAGGTCTTCCCAAGAAACCTGGATAATACATACTCTGGAAACATCACTGACACCCATAGAGGATCTGCCTTTAACCAGTAAAGGTTTTTCACATAATAATTACAGGGTTTGTAAAAGATTCAGGTAGTTGATTAAGCAGAATTGCCTTATTACAGAGTCATTAGTCATTGGGACTTGTATAGAACAGGGAATGACATGTATTCTATGTTTTCTTTGCACTTCTTTCTGAGATTAATTGTTTAGCATAGCCAAACAATTGTGCCACTCCCAGTTCTGGAAAACAGTATGGAGGTTCCTCAAAAAATTAACAATAGAACTCCCCTATGACCCAGCAGTAGCACTGCTAGGAATTTACCGAAGGGATACAGGAGTGCTGATGCATAGGAGCACATGTATCCCAGTGTTCATAGCAGCACTCTCAACAATAGCCAAAACATGGAATGGATCAAGAAGATGTGGTTTATCTATACAATGGAATACTACATGGCAAAGAGAAAGAATGAAATCTGGCCATTTGTAGCAACATAGATGGACCTTGAGGGTGTTATGCTGAGCGAAATAAGTCAGGCAGAGAAGGACAAATACCATATGTTTGCACATATAGGTGTATTAGGAGGAAGTTAACAGAGGATGAAGCCGGAGAAGAAGGGGAAAATAGTTGGGGAGAGGGAGGGAGGCAAACCA